GAAAGCCAACGTAATAGAATGAATCGCTGAACTAAAACTTAAAGTTTTGTCCTGAATATCCAATTTTCAATAGGGTTTTAACTATTAACTGCATTATCCCAAATTCAATTGTTTTAATGGACATTTCCCATACGATAATCCGTTTAAGCTCTAGTGAGTCCCTGAAAAACCGTTGCTGCCCTCTGAATCAACTTGAGACAAATAAAATAAACAGTTAACGTCGATTTCATCCCCACTTCAGAATATATTATATCCTGGACAATAGATTATTATACAGGGTGTTAACAAATAAGTGTCGCAACGAAAAACTGTAGATGCCTCATAAAAAATGAGACATTTTTCTCCGGGCTTCCGTTTTCAAGATATACAGGGCGTCAAAAAAGTAAAATTTTGCAGGTTTTTGCTTCTATCTCTGGGACCGTTTGAGCTGAGCCTTTGCACGCACTTCATCATTAATAATGACTACTTTTAAGACGCTTATACAATTTCCTTGGACATGTCAGTGGCGGAGAGGGTTCAACCCCCGAAACTTTTATGCCACTGGAGAAATTGTAATTTTTGGAGCACATTCTGAAGCGCCGATATCTTTCACACAAAAAAGGTCCTCCTGTTTGAATGCTCTAAAGTGAACAGTTTTCGAGACAAATGGCTTTTCGAATGAATATAAGGTTGTTGAGTGTTATGGTTATCGAATTGTTAAGTTTATTGAGTGTTGTAAAGTATTTTCGATTAAGTCTGGTGTACCAACATTTTTTGACGTTTTAAAACGGCTGCCCGGAAAGAAATTTTGAAAAGACAAAAATTGCCTCTTTTTTAGATATATATTTACAGGGTGCTACATTGGGAAACGGAAAAACGCCATCAATAGATATAGACTTCACTGAGAGGAATCTGAATAACCATTAATTTCACCCATATAATAATTCATAAACGACAAGTAGTGTGTTATATTGATTTTGCTGATTTATTTGTAGAACGAACCACCCAGTATGTTTTTCTTATATTTGGCACACATTTCATTTTCTCCTTTTCACTTCTCAAGCGACCAACGTACTATCGTGAATACAAAAATCCAAGTTCATATAGATTAACAAAATGAATAATTGTTGTGTGATCAAAACAACACCCTGTATTATCAAGTGTCAAATTTCAACAGAGGACAAAACATAGAATTCAACAGTGTACTTTCGATTTTTCAGCATACAATTTAACTACTAAACTTTTGAACTAACAGGAGATTCAATTTTAGATTTGGAGAGTTATATAAAAACGGAATGAGCATTTCTGATTTTCTATATCAAATTATGGATTTTTCTACTGACTAGTATTTTGGAAGCAAGGATAGTGAAAGGAGAACATTGTATTACATATCATGTAATATCAATATCATAATAATACTTATTAACAGCTCTTCAATATACTTTATCATATTGGAAAGAACAATTGGTTGGAAACAAGTATATGTTATTGCATTTGAAACAATTGATAGGGACATTTTTTTACAGAAACTGAGGTATTATGGAATTGCTGGTACTGTTTATAATTGGATGGAAAATTATCTTCAAAATCGAAGTCTAAAAACGAAAATAGGCTCAAGCTATTCCAATATATTGCAGTACCTCAAGGCAGCGTCTTGGGGCCACTTCTGTTTATCCTATATAAAAATGATATTCAGCAAATTGCAGGGAATTGGTTTTGATAACCTAGTATTTTTATTGTGAATTTTATACATGTATATGTGTGATGTTTGATGTTTCATGGATGCTCGAGATGTTTGTATATTAGGCTTCCCTATTTTTAATAAACTACTACTACTAGATCAAATTTGGATCATATAATATTCAATGTTTTGGGGTTTACATCATACAGTATGCCCAGTGATTGTAGGAATTTACAGGAAGATATTTTTTCATCAGTGGTCAAGGATGAAGCCCTTTTCGCTACATCAACTTTTTCTCGTTGAAATTTTCAAATGAATCTAGCGAATTACAAACAATTATTTTTTTTTCATTGTTCTAAATTGTTGTTATAATATAGATAGCAGCTCAGCTAGGCTGTTCATGGTTTTAATACGAACGTATTTTGACGGATCATTATTTCCAGCTCAATTCCCGAATTATCCCCGAAATTCCCGTCTATAAATATACGCACCTTCTCGCTAAAGCACCACCAACTGCGTGAAAAATCATAAATAAAACGATTTTCCATTTATTTATGACTTCGAAAGACATTTGAATGTAAAAAAGCATGATAATAAGGCAGGGTTATTCGACTGTTACGTATATATTTCCATGGCCATCCTATTCGCGAGAAGAGAGCGATGTTCAATTTTTCGCCCGCGAGCCCGGGAACTCACCCCAACCCCCTCCTTATTACGTGAAATATGTTCATAGCCACCTTTCTATACCGCATAGGGTAATATCTCAATGTTATTATAAAAACAATAGCGTAGAGTTTCATCCACACCGCGAACATCAGGCTCAAAGATACCAGTGACGTATCAATCGAAATTATATTAGAGGATGAAATTAATGAATCAATAAATTGAGGGTATATCTATAATTCTTAAGCACGAACACCTCATTTATATATTATATTTATACATTACAACTTTTGGTTTATTTCAGCGATTTTGTTCGATATAATATGACGATTGTTCATGATCTTATAATATTTGAACAAAAAACTAAAGCTCACATAATATGTAGGTATAGTACTCAAAGTGTCATTATTATAATGTTGATCAATTGAACTAACTATATGCCTGTTACGTATCCGCAAGACTTCAAGTCTTTATATATATAGTTATTATGGATTTTGTTAGGGTTATGTGATTTTGTGTGATCTGTGATCGTAAAAACATTTTTATACGTCAGTATGTTACATTCAGCTTTACCTTTTTTATGATGCAGCGAGATTCAACTATTTTTTCATCTCTGGAGCTCATGGAAGGTTATGTTCGAGATACATCGTGTGTACCTTGGGAGAATAGAGTTAGAAGGTATATAGATATCTGAGGATGTTGTATGTTCTCGGAAATACTTTTCTTCGCTAAAGAAATCCAAATCTTCGCCGTTCTATAGATGAATGAGTTAAAGAGTTGTTTGATATAGGTATATCGAGGTTAACGACAAAAGGATATACTGACTGGGCTTGTCGAGTTCGTCTGACTGGTATTATTGCTAGCCAGTGCTATATTGATGGAATGACAATGATTGTTGGAGTCACAAATGTTGTAATAAAAAAAAGGAAAGTAGAAGAGAGCACTTTGTGTGTTTATATGTTTTCGATTATGAAAAACACTTGTCCCATTTGAGGATTTGTTGTTGTTTATTTAGTCCACTCAGGATTGGCTCCAATATACTGAACTTGATCTATAACGACTCTATAGTCGTTATAGACTATCAGAAGGAGTTTCAATCTAAACGCTGGATCAGAAACTCCTACAAGAATGATATATAGATTCTCTCCATTGTTACAGATTTCTTGATGCACCTCCGGAATGATGGTCCAAGAACGGAGTCATGTTCCAATTATTTATTACCTTATATTATGTGGTTGACCAGCTGTTTCGTATGGGGACAGTATTTTGGTAATATGTAATGGTCAGGTCATCTTTCATATTCATATACAGAGAAAAATTTTCAATGATTTACCCACACATTATGTATAAAACTGAATGAAAATTTCCAACTAGTGAAGAAGCCCATACTTAACTTCTCATGTAATCTGGAACCTTATTCCATAAATGATTATTTTGAGCAGTGCCTGGATAGTGCAGCAGCTTCAGAATACTTATAAATTTAATATAATATCATGTGTTATTATGTATTCATTTTTTGTCCAATTTCTGAATGCTAACTCTGACTGGCTTGTATATTACCAATATATTTGTCATATGTTTGTAATATGTAATTCAAGTGCAACAAATTATTATAATTATTATATCACTGCACATCAAACAAAGACCAGTGCTGTAACTTCTGAATCATTTCTCATTTAATTAATTTAGCAAAAATATGAATTTATAACCACAACTTTGAATTTTGGATGACACACTGTATGTTTTGTCATTTTGATCAGAAATAATTTCTATTTGTGTGTAAAAAGATCTTCTGAATCCAAACATATCTCAATATAGATATAATAAAAACTGAAAAATAATGCTTTGGACATTTCGATGAGCACTAAATTTAAAGAAAAATACTTGGTACGCCTATGACTTCGAGTTTATTATTAAGCTGGAAGTAAGGGATATATGTTGAGGCAATATATTTTGATTTTTAATTCAAACTCAGACATTGTTTTACGGGTTTGATACTCCGTGTGATAATAATGATCTTCTTATATATTCGCGGCGGGAACGAAATGGAAAAGAGGGGTAATCAGTTATTCAAATTTTCATGCTCTCCCAATTCCCCCTATACATCGCGCGCCCTATTTATTACAACATATCGTAAAAAATAATAACGCGATCCATTATTAAAAAGTTTTCTGGTAATGCGATCCAGGAAATACGATGGATACGAACGGCAATTCGAAAACATAAACCGTCCAAGTTTCGGTGTAAACAAAAATCGGGAAAAAACATCAGATTTTATACCGAACGTAATCACTTTTTCAACTTTTGAATCCGTTTTTATTTCCCATTGCCATACCCTTCGTGATGCTTCATTCCACAATGAATTTTCACCTCCTCGTATAGTACGACGGTTTATTGCGCCATAGTATAGGTAATCTATACATTTTTTATGAAAATTTTAAGATTTAAGGACTTCAATCGTCTCTGTAATGTTCTTCTGCTGATGTAGTTGTTATATTTACTAAATATGAACACCATATAAGTAATACTGTCTGTAGGTTAATCGAGGAGGTGGAACATTCATTTTCCTAGATCATTTGTTGTAGGACAAAATTCTGAGAATTGTGGTGAATTAATATAAATATAGCGCTGATGTTTTTGCGATGATCAGGCAGTAATTCCTTAATTTTTGTTTCAGAGAGCAACACTAGCAGAAAAAGAAGTAACAACGTTGAAAGAACAGCTCTCCGGAAACAACACAACGAACAACTGCGAAAACAAAGACACATTGAACATGGACCGACAGAGTTTTGAAACTGAAATTGCTACCAAAGATAAAGAAGTAAGTGATTCGAATAGAAACAAAACCCAACAATGATCCAGATGAAAACAATATGAAATCGTGAATATATCCTATAATCACTACCTTTACCTACCCTCGGTATATGTAGTTATACTCAGCTATTTCCTAATTTCTTGAAGAATATAGTTGGTCTCGAAACACATACTACTGCCTCCGACTACAACTAACAACTAACTAATAAGGTTGAAGAATTTGTGGAGTGAACGTTTTTTCTATTTTGATCCTCACACTCCATTTCGAATCTTCATTGACTTTTTCACAGATTATACAGAGAAGAACACAAAAATAGGCCAGACTGTAACTTCTGAATCATTCGAGATCGGATTTTGAAAACCGATGGGTATACCAAAGTATATCAAATTACTACCGAAGTCTCGCCGCTTCAGGTCTTCATGAAATGGTATGATAGGTATATATATAAAATTATAATGCATTCAACTACAACTCAACTATAATTTGATTCTTGACATCGTGTCAGCCGAGTTTAGCCGAGTTCTGACGAAGTGGGCGTAGCAATATCAAGAACTGACGTCATCAAGATGGAAATCGGCTGGCGCGGACCAGGCCATATAATTTTCAATAACTTTGAACTGCTCATTGGCTCATAATTCGCAACAAAAACACATTTCTCTTGCGAGATCTGTAACAACCAATTGTTGAATCTGACAAATTCGATATCAGTTCAATAGCTTAATTATAGTAACTTTCTCAACTGTTGAGGTGCCAATTGGGCAATGAACTCGCCAGTGACCTTCAGTTGGAGTTTTCCAATACATATTCGTTCATTTTATAAACTATTGATGTGGAAATGACTTTGAGTTTCCCTTTTTTTGATACCATTTCATTCCACTCTGAGTATATTTTGAGTATATAACGCCGGAAAATCAGTCACTCCCATTTTATCTGAAATAGGACTTTGTTTTGAAGTGTTTCTTTCCTTCTACTCAGGTGGCGTTCTTGTCCATCTCGCATATGCCGAACGCCTCGTGGGTATTAAATGTTGGGAATTGTTTACGTTGGGGTTGGGTCAAGTTCGCACCAGCTGAGATCCCAAAGCCGTTACCCCCGATACTTAGGGGGTAACGCCAAAGCCCGGTCTGTAGGTATGCTAGATTTCGAGAGGATGTAATGCAATATTCTGCGTGGCATATATAGCCACGAAAGTGGTTGTTTTCCTCTCGTTATCAACCACTTTCGTTAATTTTATGAATTCTTGTGGTGATGACGTGAGTTTTTCCCTCTTTATTAAGGAACACCCTGTAGATATATTTATGAATCGGTACTCCATACCCATTCCGATTGACTGAAAATCGCTTTATCATCGACCGAGAGCGTTCGCTGAAACAAAAGAATAACAATGAGCGCCCCCTAAACACGCAAGTGCCCCATTCGAGCCGTTTTATCGCTCAAGATAAGGCCAGTGCAGTATTGAATATGTGTCATGATACTTGGAAATACAAAGAAAATACTCTTGATATTAATTACCCACCAGGTTTCAATTATTCTTTTTTTATTTTGGAATTCGGATCAGAATGAATGACCAGGAAGCGATAAATAAGGTGCCATTGTTATTTTCACCAAATCGAGAGGGAACAAAAAAATAACAGGAATACCTATACTTAGTGTTGAGGATTGCCTGCACGAATACGCGAATGGAAATAGATGAGAATTCTATAAGAGCATGGATACTCATTGTTTTTTATTAAAAAACAAAATTGTAACGTAACGGATTGATGTACCAAATTTCCTACGATTCGTATGTTGAAAAAAATGCCCGGCTATTTAAACAGACCAGTCACACATTGTTCTCTGTGAACATGTATAAGGATTGGAAATGCACTGATAATGTTTTGGAAATCTGTTTTCTCCTCGGTTTTCTCGAATGAAAACAAATGTCTCCATAATAACGAAAAAGTCACATTGCAGATGGTTAATAGTTAGGATAGTTTTGAAAACACTTCTATCCAATTTTCAATACCTTGTATACATCGTAAGAATATTTGTTGATGTAGGCTAAAATCAGTCATAAAATAAGCCAAAGAGTTGCTGCCTTCAATATGGGACATAACATTCGGGTACACCCTGTATCTAGCAAAGATTCAAAATTAAAACATTTCACGGCATAAGTATTGTGGACTATTTTTAAAGCTATACTATTTGGGGAGACATGCTCGTATTTATAAATAAAACACGTGGACGAACCTTTCAAGCAATCAAACCAAATATTTTTCGTTCTGATATAATCGAGAGAACATCAATTCGTGAAACGTCAAAATGCAGCTATCGCAGCATTTCATCACACGTGTGGTAAAGCGAGTTCCTAAAATATTCTCGAAAATTTACACGTTTGAAATTATGAAGTTGATTTCAAAATCGAAACCACGACATTTTGTGTCAATCTATGTCCACACCAAATTGTGTAACCATTTTATAGCTGCTCTTCATTTTATACTGATACAAATTTCATGCAAACATTTGAGGAATGTTCGAAAAATCATGTTCTCATTTTCAGTTAATTCTAACAAAATTCGAGTTCTTGTCTGAAACTGATTATGCATTTCTATTTTGACAAATATATATATATATTTATATATGCATGGAACCAGTGTATATTGGGGGTAGCAGCAGATTGAAAGGAATACTCTTTGAAGTTTATCCAAGCTTTCGGAAATGTTTATTTCCATCATCAGGAATACTACAATGATTGAAGAGTGTAAATACATTGGAAAACACTATGGCCATGGCTTGAACTTACATCTTTGGTGAGGTTGGTTACAACGTTGTTCGATATATAAAATTGTAAAAGATGAGGTGACATATTGTAAAATTGCTTACGTGGACCCATGAGAGACTAACATTTGTACAGCTAAAAACAACTGTTTATTTTTCCAAGTCACAATTTTCACATTCTTCAAATTCATCGAATTCTTTTAGGTTAGGAATGTCTGTTTATTTTGAAAAACTACAGGCTGCGTTACATGTCTCCTGTGTCACCCGGTATATAAAAAAATATCGATGAACTATAATACTATATATACGAATAAAAAAACTCCAGTATAAGTATGATAATTTGGGAGTATGATACATTAATATTTCACAATATTTCACAAGGGTGTTTTGAACAGGAAATAGAGGAGGAAGTTGAATGTATTTCATTTATGACTATTCATCCGACAATGCGCATGAATGCTACCAACAAACAAAAGAAACCATTCTTACTTTTCCGCTCTGTTAATTGCCAATTCTTATCAATAGTCGATTATAATATGAAACCTTCGCACAAAAATTACACGGTAGAGGTTCATCAGCTGACCCTGATGGGTAGAAAGATGGTTAAGCTCACTTATGTCGATCATATTAGTTTAGAAATATACGATTCGATGGTCGAAACGTCCATGACTAACTTCCTGTGAAGCAGAGGCCTTTTTCACTACAAATCGGTACTTATGTAAATCGGGTTATTCCTAAATAACCTATCGACTAAATTACATAGTGTTCGTAATTAAAAATGGAATATTCATGAAATTTAATGTAGTTGGCAACATGAAATTTAAATATACCATCAATACCTTCGCAGGTACGCGATCACCATAATACGCCATTATTGGCTTCCGGTGCTAACTCATTTGTTATTGCAGAATTCATTTGTTTCACGCATGTGTGAATACGCATTTGTCAAAAAACTGTACAGCCAACAAAGACAAAAACTGATAACGCTTTTTGATAAGTCGCTCGACTTCCGTTTCCGACAGTATTTCTACAAATAAATTGACGATAAAATTGAATAATCTAAGTTCAATGGCTGAATATTGATTATAAAAATAGTCATTAAAGAGCTTTTGTGATTTTTTCCCAGTTACGCTCGAAAAATTCCTGTGAAAATGATACCGCAATGATCCAATCGGAGCGGAAGCTATGGGGAGATAACTCTCGACATGACTTTATTTATCTGAAATCCTTTCGATTTTCATAAACTAACACAACCAATGTATATTGAATAATGAAACCGATGTTTACTTCCATTAAGCCGACATACCTTCTTCATAACAAAATTAGTCTTTTTTGTATGTATATGTATGTATGTATGTATGTTACATGAAAGGAATATTGAGGGAACTGTTTTGAGAAATTTACGAACAGATTATTGGACACCGTACTGATGAGGGCCGAAAGCCCGAAACACGTGCCTGCGGTTACCCCTTGAGGGCTATGTCCAGTAACCTTTTCGTTGTATGCATACTTGAGACGACCCTTCGATGTTCAATTCTCAGTAGCAGACCTCTGCAAGATTCAATTAATCACATGATAATCCATTTTAATTTCAATCTCCTTATGCAACATTTTGACTGTTGAATAGACGATCGGTAGACCTTTCAATCAAGGTCACATGACCCCTATTTGTATTTGAAGAAATCGTCCATTACGTCTCTACTCCAACACCGGTGACGTAACATCTCTCATATGAATATCATGAGATGAGGCTTCAGAAATTAAAACTCACGTGTTTTTGGAATTTTTTCAAATGTCGCCCATTTCTGAAATAATGAATTTATTCCATACATGGACGTATAAAAAAGAAGGACACAGCAACTCTATACTTTCAGCATATAATGTTTTGAAGTCTTAGAGATGTAGGCAAACGGGTTGAGGGGAAGGGAAACGGTAACGATAGACTGTGCTATTTCCTCAAACGGCAGCGGCGTGCGAAAATGAATAATCGTGATAGTAAATTTCGGAATCCAAAATGCAAATAGCGACTAAAAACTGAATACCAATCACTTATGACCGTTTATCAATCCGGGTCGCTATGGGTTATACGTGGTTATACCAAGTGAACATAACAAATACAGATTTGTGTTTTCACATATTGAATAATAGATTTTATATAACTGTGGTGTGGTGAACTGGTACGCAAAATAGATTATTAAAATATAGAAATTTCGGTACTATTTAAGGAATCAGACCCTCGTAAACATTGC